ATGTTTTGATAAGTAGATTTAATGAGGAAATCATTATTGCAGATTGTAATTACTTTGGTTCATTCAATAACAATTTGAACAGCAAGAATGAAAGCATGAGTCAAATACTCTTCATGTTAGAACTGTACAAACAAGACCAAAGACATGTTTTTTAATTGAAAGGTCAATGACAATCTAAAGGACTCAATAATTCCCATTCAAGAAATAGAGATCAAAAACAGAGATAATAGATATATATTTGCTGCGATGTATTTCTGCTTACTTGTGACAGTGTTGAGTCCTATTTACAATCTTTGCCCATATACTGTAAACCAACTTATTTTCGCGGATACTTTATTTCGCGTTTATCCCTTTCTAACCCATTTTACGGAGATTCATTATCGCGATTTTCTAATTTTCATCATGTATTTTTATAAGGGAAGGTCCAGTTGATACATATTCGCGACACTTTGTATTCGTGTTATGTTTCTACTCTCGAAAGTCGCGAAAATAAATCGCTCGCGAAAATTAGTTGGTTTACAGTACATGAAAACGTATAGTATTACTCAACTCAACGCGAAAATGAAATTGTAATATCTTTCCATTTGAGCAGATTTCAAGTGTGGTAAAATATTTTTAAAATTCTGTTCTTCTACATGATTTACCGTAAGTAGCCATTCCAAACAGACATGACTCTAACCTCATATTTTCTATCCACCTTGCAATATTAAAAAATATCTGATCCTCTTACTGTTTACACAATGTTTTCATCTTTTCATTCTAATGTGCATAGTAGTTGTTAAAAGTTAAGGGAATCCATTCAGTTGGAAACAAACGAATAGGAGCGAATTGGAGAGAACGAGAAGTGTAAAATAAATTGGTGACAAATCGCATGAGAAATTACATCAAGGACACAATGTCCAAGTAACCATTGATTATTCCAAGTGTATATGTTTGCTCCATTGCATCGATCCACTTGGACAACTCTCGTAGTAAAGTTAATAACAAATATTCAGTGGTCTGTGTATAGAAAGAAGCTTACACAACACGGTTAAATGGTTAATCAAGAGGGAAAATCTTCATAAAAGAGAGGCGGACGGTAACAACAAGATAGTCAAACTCATAATTGGGAAACGAACTGAAAACGTAATGAAAATACAAAATTCAAAAACCGGTTTGATCTCAGGTGTTCCGGAAGTGTTATCAAATAAGTTTTATTGAATTAATAGACATCATGCAACACAATTAATAAGATTGACAGTATCAATGACTAGTATGGTTTGATGATTCGATTCTGAATGAAAAATCAATGGTGATAGTTGTCCAGGAATGAAAACTGTTCCAATAAACTCATTATAGATAACAGACTAGACATTGTGTACGCCAATAGCGCGTTTTGACTAAAAAAGACTCATAAGAAACGCTCGCATCAAAATATGCTAAAACTTCCAAATAAAGTACGAAGTTGAAGAGTATTGAGAACCCCAAATTCCTAAAGGTGTTGCCACATACAGCTAAGATGATGTATTCCTGGGGTAGAAAATCCGTAGTATTTCAAAAATTCAACACAGGGGTGCTGACTACTAAGTTGGTAATAACCTCGGGGAGAAAACCGCCAACAACTGCATTTCGTTTCATGCACATCTTATCATGCTCTGTATGAAGTTTCTACAATTCCCCCAGCGTTTCGCCTGCATATAACTCATCAGTGGCGCTCTAATCAATACAATCGGAAGGCATATAGAATATGAAGGTGACGAACACTGAAAACCAAATCTTTCGAAAATTTGAGGTAATTACGAAGAAAATGGTGTTTTGCATGCATACCTATAAATATGATAAAACAAATTTACTGAATAAAACTCAATCAAAGCTACCACGCTTGTAGTTTTGTACACCAGACTCCCGTCTCGTCTTCAAAAGACTCATCATTGACGCTTGAATAAAACAAAATTAAAAGGTCAAATAACTATTGATATTTCATGTCAACATAAAAGTTCTGACTACTTGGTGATATATTCGTGGACGAAACGTTCTTCGGCAATGCCAACCAGCAAGTGGTTATAAAAGCCCCAAAATTTGTCAACGATATCAGGCTTATAATTTCTACTGCAAAACCGAAAAAAGATTCGATGAAACAGTTCGAATCGTCTGCAATCTAACGCAGTGAGTTATGTTGCGTCGATAGTATAGACCTCTCGTGATATGCATGGATTCATATCGTCCCATTATTCTAAAATAGCATTTAGTATTGTGATAGGATTTTGTTCAATCCAGTAATACCGTAAGTATTACATTACAAAGAATATGGACTCTGTCTCAGTGTTTAAATGATTCAAATAAGCTAGAAACGGAAACATTGTGTTCTCGTAACTTGAATAGTTTAAGTCACTTATCCAGAATGGGTAATGTCAACAGGGAAAATTACTTCATCGTGCAAAACGAATTTTAGGGACTCTGAAAAATATGGTATCCATTCGTTTAACTATATAAACATTTGCATACTCCAACTCCTTATTATCACCATGTTAAAAGAAGTAGCACTTTTGGTCAATTGATATCTTCAATTTTTTTCATTGTTGGGCGCTTCTATCGCACAACGCTCAAACGGATATAAAACATAAACTCATACAAAGTGTCGGTTACATGTTACAAGGGAGTAATTAAAGATGACTGGCGCCACCTAGTTTTTACATCCAAGATAATAAGTAGAAATAAATTTATTTTCTGCTGCCCTGTTAATTAGAAAACAAAATTGAAATAGTGAGAAATGAGTGTTGGCTATTGGTGTAGAATAAGCGAGAAATTTGGAGAAAATTCTCTGTGATGAGCAACATTTTCTGTGCAAAATAAAGCAAGGGGTGTTCTTTATTCATACTATTTCGAAAATTCTGGAACCATACAGTACCCTTAAGTATACCATGTTTCCATCAAAAAAGCTGCGGCACCATATGTGTTTTGCAGTTTTATTCACACCCAAAGGTGTTGAAAATTCAGAATTTGAGCGTTTTATCAACGCATCTTTTATAGTGAAAACGAATAACCAAATGACTATTAAAATAAGGAGATGTGGTATGATTGCCAATGAAACAAATATTCACCAAAGTTCAAATGAAGTGGATTTAAGTAATTATAGGCAACAGTACGGCCTTCAACAATGAGAAAACCCATACCGTATAGTCGGCTATAAAAGGCCCCGACATGAAAAATATTAAACAATTCAATTGAGAAAACTAAAGGCCTAATTTATAACAAAACAATTTGCGAAAAACAAATATGACGGACATGAACCAACGACAACCACTGAACTTCAGGCTCCTGACTTGGGACATGCACATAAAGAATGTGGCGGAGTTAAACATGTTTGTTAGCGCTCAACCCTCCCCCTAACCTGAGACAGTGGTGTAACAGCACAACATTGTCGCCTATGTAAATAATTACTTCATTTTAGGCTAAAGCGAAATAACGATTTCTGGCGCACCACTGTATTTTTCCAAATATTTTAGAAACGAAATAGGTAAATTAATAAGCTACTAGGTAGTAAACTAAATTAGAAAAACATTCCTGATCACCATGAAACTATAGTCTATATCATATTTTTACTGGTTTTTTTTTATTCTTCTGTTTAAGGGGTAGGATTCATTAACCCACTGTAAGAACTATAATTCTGTCAAGGACTCTGTCATTACTCATTTATCCTCAACTTTGATAAAATTGCATATATTCAGGCATATCTAAAATAGGGGGCATATTTTTGCTGATGTTAAGCGAATTTTTGTATTTTCTATTGCTAAATGTTACCAAAATATCCCTAAAATATTAAAATTAGGCACAAAATCAAAGGCTATACATTTTTCTTCTTAGTACTATCGAATTTAGTATTCTGTACACAGTTTATTTCATAAAACTTTGTTTCGCTCATGCCACTGTTTTCATATATTCGTGACAAAAACATATAAGTTGGACATAGTTATCAAATAATCAACCTCAAATAAAAGGCCTAAATCAATCTTAATTAATCAAACACCTCGTTTGAAACACAGTAAAACAGTCAAAATATGCTGGTCAATGCCCCCAAGTCTTTAAAAAGTAACGTTTTCTGAAAATGGGGGTACCTGAAAAGAAAGTCATTTTAAATGATGAACAGTTGTATCATTAATCCAAAAATGTGATCGTTACCATTAGGGGTATATAGTTATCGACTTATGCTAAGGTTGTCCGATTTTATTTCAGTATATGTCAGTAAAGGTTAAACGGAATTGATTAAAGATGACTGGCGCCAACTAGTTTTTCATCCAAGATAATAGGTAGAAGTAAATTTATTTTCTGCTGCCCTGTTAATTAGGAAACAAAAATTGAAATAGTGAGAAATGAGTGTTGGCTATTGGTGTAGAAATAGCGAGAAATTTGGAGAAAATTCTCTGTGATGAGTAACATTTTCTGTGCAAAATTGAGCAAGGGGTGTTCTTTATTCATACTTTTTTGAAAATTCCAGAACCATAGAGTACCCTTGAAAAATACCATTTTTCTATCAAAAAATCTGCGGCACCATATGTGTTTTGCACTTTTATTCACGCCCAAAGGTGTTGAAAATTCAGAATTTGAGCATTTTATCAACACATCGATTATAGTGAAAACACAGAACCAACAAAAGGCTACCATTGTCGCCTATGTAAATAATTACTTCAGTTTAACCTACATTAATTAGACTGCGGGATAGACAGTATCGAACTCTTTCTTAATGATTTATTTTAAGACTTCACAAACCGTGTCGTATATTTAAATCATAATGTCGTAAAAATAGATCGTGAGAAAGAGGTATTGATTTTCTTAATTACAAAAAGATAAACACGTCAACTTAACCCTGTTGATATACAGTTTAAATTCAAATAAAAAATTCAAAATAAGTAGTTGACTCTACATTTCTTTAGTAAAGTAAGTAAAATAAGTTTAATTAAAAACAAAACTTTGATATTTATTGTAAATCTCGCTAACATAAACTTAAAATATCACGCGATATGGTACACTTCTACCTGTCAGATGACAAATGTATTTCTTGGCTGACATTCAATGAGTGACGTTTCCAATGGTTAAAATTAAGGTAAAGATCATTTACTTTAAAAATTCTATGTACGTGTGTATTGGGATATCATATAGGTTTGGGCTAATGAAAGGAATGTGTGTATCACTTTGGAATATTTCTCATGCTCATTTTAACCGTAAAAATATGTAGTATGTGAAGAGTAACGAGATTTCAATGTTTATTGGGTACTTTGTGTGAAAAAGGCTTTATTGAAACAATATATCCTACCAAACTATTATGACAGATTTATTGGATAACGGTGTTGTGACTTTTTATGTATCTTGGCAATAGGAGTGTTACATAGCAGACTTTTTGATTTACGAACACGTTCATTTTTAAAGTGAAAATGTGTTAGATTGGGGCCGAGTGATTCTAAATCGCCCATTTTCAGGTTTCAATTGTATATTTTAGTTTTTGTGTATTTTTTTACTAAATGCGACAACAAAAATATTAGGTAGCTATGATAACCACCTTATTGTTATCTAATACACAACAGTGTTTTGCTCTTTTTTAGAATATATTATTTACAATAATTGAAATAAGTAATTATAAATCTAATCTCAATCAAAGCCTATAGTAGGAGGTTTACCTTTCTTCTCTATAAAGAGTCTCCAATGCAATGTCAGTATGGATAAAAAGTAAAATAACAAAAATACCGATCTCCAAGGAAAATTCAAAATGGAAAGTCTTTGTCAAATGGCAAAATCAAAAGCTCAAACATATCAAACGAATGGAAAACAACTGTCATATTCAGGACTTCGTACAGGCACTTCGTTATGTAGAAAATGGTTGATCAAACCTGGTTTTTTATAGCTAGCTAAATCTCTCACGTGTATGACAGTCGCATACGAATAAGATATGAATCTGATTGATCTGAAGTTTTTGTTGAATAAAACATATAAAATAAGAATAAGGCAATTATCTTGGGTTGATCATTTATAAGTTGTTTTCTTTGAGAAAAGCTAGCTTAGAATTATGCATGTTATCCCAGAACAGTAATCGTCTTCAAGATTTGTTGGGTATTTAATCTAAACGTGAATTTCGAGCTAAATTTGTTTTGTGCAACTATTTATTTTAATGTATTTTTAAAGTTTTATTGATATTCTTAAATGATCCATGTTCCTATCCATGATAACACGTGAAGCACACCAGTTTAGAATTAGTTTACAAACTAACATCTTAAATATCATACACTTAAATACGGTAGAATGATTTTACCGATGCAAGAATTATAAAAACTCAATGGAGCAGAGAATGAATGTGTATTATTTTAATTTTGACTTTCAATACCCTTTTTATATATTTACATGTCAATTCATGCAATACAAATAATATCGAATTCAAGTAAGCAACGCCTTAGGTAAAATGTTGGCAATTAAATTATTATACACCTTTCGTCACAACTCCTCGGTGTGGCACTTAAATATCCGTTAGATATGGAGAGATTTACTATCTAAAAACTTATAAATTAATAAGTGTTTGATTTTACCTTCAATTTTATATAATATTTCAAACCGTCCTTTGAGGTATTACATTTTAAATCTTAAATCATACAAACTTATCTTACGACCTCTTGTGAACTATATGACGTATATAGTATTGTTTCTGTTCTGGTAGTATATATCGATATTTTGTGGTTTTGAACATCTGAAAATATATCACAGATCGCCATATCTATATAGATACAAGAAGATGTGGTATGAGTGCCAATGAGACAACTTTCCATCCAAGTCACAATTTGTAAAAGTAAACCATTATAGGTCAAAGTACGACCTTCAAAACGGAGCCTTGGCTCGCACCAAACAGCAAGCTATAAAGGGCCCCAAAAATGACTAGTGTAAAACCATTCAAACAGGAAAACCAACGGTCTAATCTATATAAAAAAAAAAATGAGAAACGAGAAACACTTATATGAACCACATCAACAAACGACAACCACTGAACATCAGGTTCCTGACTTAGGACAGGTGCAAACAATTGCAGCGGGTTTAAACGTTTTAATAGGCGCCAACCTTCACCCTACCTGAAACAATAGTGTACCTTTACAACATAGAAAGACGCACTATAAAATATCAATTGAAATGGCTTAACTTAAATCAAAAGACATATTAACAAAAACAAGTGACAATACGCTGAACGAATAAATTTGATCTATGACACAATGTAAATACAAAATAAATAAAACAAGGGTATGTCTATCATTTCAAGTTAACTGGACAGCTCTCACAAAATACAAAACCATCTTCCTCAGAAATAAACATACTGGTCCACTTAATAACATTAGCATATTATCGATGCAAAAATATTTTTCAGTCTAGTCACATTTATTTATTCAAAGAATTCTAAATAATCTATGATCAAGATAGCACTATATGAGCTAGCGTTTTTGTGATATTTAAGGGGAAAGTCTGATCTAAATTCTTACTTGTTTGTTTAAACTTCAAAATCAAAACTTTTATTTACTAAGAATATTAACGGTAAACTTTCTAAATGAAAACGGTTAGATTTTATAATTATAAAACAGAGTATTTTGGTATTTTTTCTGTTAATATATAGAATTGATATAAATGTAAAGATTGATCTCAAAAGAAGGAATCCTTCCATTTAAGAAATAATCGCAATGTCATACACTATATACTTAGATGTATAGATGTATGGGTAAATAAAAGGAGATACTGATAGTCAATGGAATAGTAACGAAAGAATAAAAAACACCAAATGTTTCTAGATATTAATGTACAGTCTTTAACAATAGACAGGTGTTTATACAACATATCAAGCTCTTAATCGTCTAAAATATTCTGAATAAATCAACGAGAAGCTATCAAATATCTCTCAAATAAAAAACATCAATATATGAAACACAAAACTATTGTCGACTTGTCGTTCATAAACCACTTTTTTACAAATATATATATATATATATTTATATTTTTTTTATTTTAGAAATTTAACCACTGTTGCAGATACATTGTATAGTTTGTATAATAGCGTATTAATCTTTAAATTTTTAGAAAGTTGAAAAGGGCCAAAATTATTGACTTATAACTATGAAAGTTATATTTACATGTACGTCTACAGTCAGAAATATGCAATTTATAATAGTCATTATTTTAATACAAATATGGAACGTTATACAATGGACAACATAGGAAGCTCGTTACGACTCCTGGTTAGACACTACATAAGTTTTACGATCGCCATAACGAATTGGTTGACCGATATGATATGTCTGTGTAAACTCTCTAGCCACATGTTTTCGCAGTCTTAATCTTTAGATACCAGAATAGTCGTCTTATCTCTAATTTAACCTATTGTTGCCTATAACACATTGTGACATTTTGATTGAGTGTAAATTTGCATGACGAATGATGCATGCATATCAGGAGACTCTTACCCTGTCGACGTACGTGTCGCTACGTTTTGGACTTCATGTAATTCCCTCAGTTTTTGTTTGTTATATAAATTTACTTCTCAATCAATTTACGAGATTTGAACATCGGTAAACTACTGTTGCCTAAATTTAAATACAGGTTGGTTGGACCTTCTGTGAGCAAGATAAACAAAAAATCATTCAATTGCTCCTGTACCTAGATTTGCCACTTATTCACCGGTAGTATTATTTCTAAAACATTCAACTACATATAATATATCTCATATTTTGCAGAGATGACAACAAATCCTAAAGTTTGCAGTATATGTGATCAACGCCATATCACTAAGCCCTCAACTGACTGGTGTTCCGAATGTAACCAAGCTTTATGTACCGAATGCAGAGATGTCCATGCAATTATCAAAGCTTTACAACATCATTCAATGGTACCAATTTCAAACTACTTATCTCTTGGTTCCTCTTTTTCTTTAGTTGAAGGACATTGTTCCTTACACGACGACAAGTACCAACTGTTTTGCCAAACCCATGACTGTTTGCTGTGCCTTACGTGTTTAGAAGAACACATGAAGTGTGAGGACGTCGTTCGTATCAGTAAGTTAACCAAAGATGTCAAAACATCTAAGAATTTTATAGAAGCTCAAAAGGGCTTATCGGATATCACACTGAAGCTTTCGAAATTACAAAGTCATCTTGAGGAGAACTTAAGCGATATCAAGATACAGAAAGAATCAGCCCTTCGAGAAATAACTCAGATTAGAGAAAAGATGAATAATCATCTAAATCAGATTGAAAACGCTCTGGAAACAGAACTATGTGAATTAGTTGATAATCAGTGCAATAACAATATTCATTTGACTTTGCAAGAGGTTATAAAGGAGAAAGCAAATGTTGAACATGTTCAGCAGCAGATGGAAGACCTCTGCATATATGGATCAGATCTCCAAGCGTTCTTTTGCCTGCAAAAAATATTTGCAAAAACTGCCAGAGCAGATCAGTACTTGCAGACATTAGCAGACGATGGTAGATTAGATAAGGTGACATTTACCTGTAATATTGTTAAGCAAATTCCTGAATTCTTTGAGAATGTAAAGAGTTTAGGATCAATTCAATTACAGAAAATTCCGAGTCAGATTACACTGGAAAGTACAAAGGATAAAGAGGCACAGTTGGTAGGTTTGGGAAACATATCTATTAATGATATCAAACTCAATTTGGTTCATACTATCAATCTAACTGGAGAATTCACCGGATGTTGCATTCTCCCAGATGAAACGATTGTTCTTTGTGATTCTAAATATAACAGTGACTGTATACAAATATTACATCCACATGGAGAACTCATTTTTAAAATCCCCACGGCATCCAGCTATCATTCGGATGTAACATATATTGATTACCGAACCGTAGCTGTATCATCAGACGTCCAACAACAAGTACATATCATAAATGTAGATACAAAAGCCATGAAGACCATCCCAACCACAGATTCATGTTATGGAATAACACACAGAGAGGGATCACTGTTATGTTGTATTCAAGGAAAAGGCATCCAAAGTGTCAATCTTCTGAGTGAAAAAAGTACTACGATTGTAAATTGCAATCTTAGTACATTGTCTTCTATTAATTTTGCCGCCAAAAAAATATTTTATACTAACCAAAAAAGAAATAGCGTGACGTGCTGTGATACGGAGGGTAACATTATCTGGACATTCAGAGACGCTTCTGTTGTGAAGGATCTTCGTAGAATTGCAGTGGACAATGTGGGGAATGTTTATATTGTTAGTTACAGTCAAAATAAACTCGTTGTATTGTCTGCTGACGGACAACAAAATAGACAACTGCTATCTGAAAAGGATGGACTTCTAAAACCGTATGCTATTTGTTATGACAAAAACAAAAATCGTCTCCTGATTTTTAATCGAAAAAATACCGGGTTTTTGTTTGATGTAGCATTATAAAACAAATTTATTTTTTTTTTTTCCGTGTTTGTTGTTTTATTTATTATTTCGTTTGGTTTTTTTTTTTTTTTTTTTTTTTTTTTTTGGTTTTTTTAATTTTTTTTGGGGGGGTATGTATATTTTAATGAATAAAAATAAGTAGTATAAAGTGTTTGCAAAATGATGGCAATTTTGTTTGCCAAAATCAAAGCAATTGATTTCGTTAAATTTTGCCAAAATTTGTAATAAAAATTTATAAAATTATTAGTCGTGATAGACAATTGTACTAGTCGAACCCTTTGCTTTGCACAGCACATAAATTTTTCGGACTTGAGGCCTTTTGTGTACTTTCAAAAATCACAACTAGCATAAAAAAAATGTTATTTCAGATTTGAAAATAGTAAACAGTCGATTTATCAAAATATGAAATAGTTATTCGTTTCATACAAGCAAATATGTATAATTTCACATTGTGACCATGTTAATAGGATCGTTTTGTTTTCATTTAAAATACTTGAAATGATGCAGGCTGGTTTATCATAAAAAAATGAATTATGACATACCGATTATTTTCTATTCATGAAACAAATCGATCGATATCAATTTGGTAATACATCATCTATAATGCATTAATGTCAGAAACGCTCCATGATTGTGTACGTGCTGATTGTTTAGCACGGTTACGATCGGTAAACAGCGTTACCAAAAACCGAGAGTTCTTTGCAGCCAAAATTTTCTACCAACAACCACCGAATGAGACGTATGTTTTGTCAATTACAACATATAAATTAGGATAATAAACGTAAAAAAACGTACATAAAGGACTTAGTTGGGTTATATATGCATGCATTGGTTCAATAATTTCAATAACATTAACATCACCAGAAACTCATGTCATGTAACTTTAAAGGTAATGTGATATACTTATCTTAATACTTATTCCGTCAAAGATTTTGCATAAGCACACAGAACACTGCATATAGGCACTCAGCTATTGTCTATTGTCTAACGTTGACACAGTTTTTTTGGACTACAAGATACATGTGTCACACTTTGTCATCTCACGGCATGAGACGCAGTGCAATCCTAGCTGTATCTTGACATCTTTAGTTTTCTATGTAGTTTCTATTTTATTGTTTGTCTTTTCGTCGCCCATGGCGGTGTCAGTTTCTCTTCGATGTATATAAGTTTTGAATGTCCCATTGGTATGTCCCGATTCGTTTTTGCATTCGCGTGTAGTTTGCGTTAAATTGGTGGAAAAAGGCGTTATCTCGCAACTTCCACGATAAGTTGCATATGTAAGGACGGATAGACTAGTTTGAACCTTTCACCTTCAATATAGTGTCATGATGTGCTCTTCTCTTTTCAAAAAAGTGCAATAAAATGCAAGGTCTGTAGGTTCAAGGTCATTGAAATTTGGTAATTCTCCTTTTAGTTGTTACTCCAAACAAAGTCACAAAAAACTTCCGTCCACAAATTGAAATCAGTGGTCGTACAACAAAGTGCCATGGTGAGGAAGCATGGCTTTGGTAATCTCGTTCTTCTTCGTTTTCATTCTTTAATTCTGTGATATCGTCTGTCACTGTCGATGATTAGTAGTATATTCATGTTTTGAGGTAGATTCGAAACATGGTGATGTAACCATGTTAACCCTTTTCTTTTTTTCTGTGTTATAGTAATCTCAGATTCATCCTATCACATGAACCATTGACAATAATATCGAAATTTAAACATTCAACTGTACTACTCAAGAAGAAAGAAAATCATTTAGATATTCCTGCAGCGGCTGGTCGTAATTAATTTAGATATGTGCAAATGACAGAATCCTTTGTTCAGAGAATAAGAAAGGTTTTTCTCAGTATGCATCTTCTTCTATGTATTAGCCTGCTGTAAGTAGAAACATCTCCATATGGAGTATATATCCATAGTAATTTTAATTTTAATGATGTACAGCACATACATATAAACAGAGACATATACAATATGTCTCTGGTATAAAATAAAATAAAATGTTATTGTTTTATATGCCATATATATATACAGGGACTAGTTTTATTTTAAAGATTTATCTCATATAAAATTTAGCAAAGGATGTTAAAATCAAACGATACTGTTTAATAAAGGTAAACCGACTTCTGTTGAGTATACATTTTTTTAAAGATAAAAGGTAAAATATGAGTAAGTTTGATAAAACAAGGTAAAATATGAGTAAGTATGATAAAATATGAGGTCTTCATCCGCTGTATCAATCATCCAATAATATATCTTTATTCTCATCACCAAATACATAGGTACAGAGAAGACATGTAATACATTACATTTAACACAAAAACATAAATATACAATATATATACAACAACAACAAAAAACAAACAATTTCAATTTATTATACACTCGCTTGTTTATAATTCTTCTAAACTTGCATAAATTTATGAGATCTGTCCTTTTTGTAGAAGTCATAATTTCAGTGAATAATATAAAATTTGGCCTTCTATTTAAATTTTGTTTTATAAATTTATTTCTCTCTTCTTTAAGGATGTGCTCCTCTGAAGAGCCAAAAATTTCTAGAATTAATCTTTTTTCTTAACCTGATTTTTTGGTTTATATGACTGTAAAAAAAATAGTTGGTGAAGAAAACATCATATGGTGGTGCACTTCTTTTTTTGCTACAGCCATTTGAAAGTACCCAATTTTGATGATTTTCCCATTTTCATCAATTTTTACCCAATTTTGGGCTATTATCATGAAAGAAATCACAGATTCACAATTAAACTTTTTTTCATACTTTTACATTTTATTTTTCTTAACCTGATTTTATGGTTTATATGACTGTAAAAAAATAGTCGGTGAAGAAAACATCATATGGTGGTGCACTTCTTTTTTTTGCTACAGCCATTTGAAAGTACCCAAATTTGATGATTTTCCCATTTTTCTTCAATTTTTACCCATTTTTGGGCTATTATCATGAAAGAAATCACAGTTTCACAATAAAACTTGTTTTCATACTTTCACTAAAGATGAAGTGGACCAAACTAAATAAATTTAACTTAAAAAAAACTATAGGTAGGTGTTAATATAAGAAAGTTTTATAAAATATTCATTTTTTTTTTTTGGTTGCTTTTTCGTGCCAAATTTACCATGTTGTCAATTTTGTAAATTTGGGATTTTTCTCTTTTTTTTTTTAGAACAAAAGCATATTATTTCAACTTCTTTTTATAAATGATTGACAAAATACACATCTCAGAAATTTGAAAAGAAAAAATTGATATGGGATGTACATGTATCTGGTAAAATCATTTCTTGTACCCCTCACCCATTTTCTCAACATTTTGGCTAATGAGACTGACTTGATTGGTTATAAAATTTGAAAATTTTATTACTCAAAAACTACTTATTGTAAATACACAATTTTTTCACAGAGTTAAGTTTGATTGTAATATTTTTTAAATTCATTGATATTTTCCACTTGTAAGACATGTTTTGGAAATAATTCCAGAACGAGATTTCAACGAGACTGAAACATCAGAAGAATATATCCTTAAGTGTGAACAATTATAATGTAGTGGAATTTATCCCCAATGTCTAGATTGCATAAATTACACTTTTTTTCCCCTTTCTATATTGAACCATCTTCCAAATTCGACTGGAAGTTTAAAGTTACATATTCTAAATTTACATAATGTCAAAATATCTTTTTCGTCTAAAATGTTGAAAATCAATAAGTTCATATCAAACTAATGGATTGAGTTTATCCTATATTGTCTTGGTAGTGTAGAATACGTACACTTTAAAATTAATAAAACTAAGCCAAGTGTGATTTTTTTTTTGTTGAATAAAAGTTTACGATCACTTTATTTAATTGCATCTTTTTTAAAATAATTTGGCATCACTAATGAGTTTTAAATGAGATTAAAGAATAGTCAATACATGTGCGACCATGGTTAGTGGCGAAGAGTACGGTACGAAACAAATATGGTCCGAAAATATAATTAATCTAGAGTTGCTTCCCCTTTAAGACTTTTTTGAAAGCTAGTTTCTGATTGGTTATTTTAAAACAAGCGGGCTATTGGAACATCGACGATAAAGAATGGTAAATAATACTGAAATTCTGAATAAATAGGAACACCACTAAAATGATCATGTTAAGACCCTCTTCCATCAGATATAAGAGAGTGTTTACAAATTATGTTTGAACCTGTGACGTCGTCGTAAACACCAGAGATATCCATAGGCACAGGGAAACCGTAAAAATTATAATTTTAAAATCATACAATTATTTCCCTTGCTTGCGAAGCGTTTATTTTAGAATTTAATACCCTATATCCAATGAGTATGAATTTATCATAGCAGTGAAAAGTCTGTATTAAAATCAGTCCACTCCTGAGTCCTGGTGGATTCAAAATCTATAGACTGAATTTGTTTTCTGTACTCCCCAAATATCCGGGTCCGTTGGCCCTGATTCGCGTTCACCCTAGTACCTGTTTGCCCTAATACCTGTTCGCACTGAGTCTGTTCGCCCTGATTTCTATTTCATTTTGTTGTCATGTATGATATAAATTATTTGAATTAATTATGTTAAAGCCCTGATTACTATTTCATTTTGTTGTCATTTATGATATAAATTATTTGAATAAATTATGTTAAAGTTTGAAAATTCCGCCGAAACATTTGGTCAGATTATACGTTTTCGTACGTAATATGAATTCGTACTATGTGGCTTTTCCCAATGGAAATTGTGACGTCACAATGTATTCTTAATAGGACGAAAACCCATGAGACGAGGATTTATGTTGTATTGATGCAACCAGATAATGATTTTTCTTTTGATTTGCATTGAATTTTCCTGCCAGAATATTCATCATGTTGAATGTGGACAGTATTTTGAAGAAGAAGAAGTGTTCAGGAACTGGAGACCAAGTTATCTGTATGAATTTATCTTTTTTGAAACCTTGTAACAATTTCAAAACAATCCAAACGGGTATAACAAGATCCAACTCACTCAACACATTAAGATCAAAGAAGCCAAGCGGCGGAAACAATTT